TCATAACTGGAAGTTTTCTCCTATTCTTGTCTCTGAGTGACCGGAACCCGTTTATTTTTATCAGAACGCATAGTTTCAGTTTCGGTTTCAGTTTCGTTGATGCGGACTTGCTAACGTGCCATGTGTCAGACCTTTAAGGCATAAACCTGCGATCTCACATTTTGAGACGGATCACCTTTAAAAGATATCGCGTATTAAAGGTTGCGAAGCCACCAGCTACCAAATAAACAAATGAGTGATTTTTAAGTTAAATTAATGGTTATCGCAATGAACTATGAAACTTGGGCAGTTGCAAACAGCTGTACCTTCTGGGCGCCATTTTGTTACTAGAAAAGGAAAACGGTTACCTTAAGCCAGAGTCAAACAGACGCAACACGTCACGTGACATCTTGCAGCACTGTTGGGTGTTGTTGCTGCAACTTGTTGCGAACGGAGGTGGTCCTGAACACATGTTGCGACGATGTTTGGTTTTCTACCCTCCGTTTGCCAAATCAGGGCTGTGTAGAAGCCCATGACTAGCCTTGGCAAGATTGATACTTGCCTCTGTCTCTCTTAACTTTTTACCTCGAATGGTAATGGCCACCGATAGTATCCACTTGTTCGCATGTAAATTTGTTTGAGTTCTGGGTTAGCGTTCAGTTGTATTATTGAATTAATAGAGGACGATGAGAGAGTCCGGAAAACGAGCAAAACTCGCCGATAGATCAAGAGGAGATTAAAGAGGGCTTATTGCACTAACATTCTGACGGAAGTTATGACTCAATCTCATATTTGATGGTAAATTTGCAAGGCTACCCAACAATGTTGCGAAAGGGGTCAAACAAACACAACGTGTCACAACATTCGCGAGAGTAAAAGAAATGTTGGGAGGTCTTGCATGAAAAGGTTGACCCAATTCAAACTTGGCGCAACATCTACGAAACATGTCCCAACACCCTGTGACATGCCACAACAGGGTGGTCAAATAGACGCAACATATTGCGCGCAACAGTATTGCATGATGTTGCGTCTCTTTGACCGGGGGTTATAGTTATTTTTTTTAAACTTGGGCTGCATCATTTTTGGCTGGGTAGTTTTAATCCACAATCTTGTTCGTCTGGTCGTTGGGGCTGATTTGTTATTTATGTAACATTACGACCTTCAGGCACCGGCATTTTCTCAATGACTAAATCGCTTTCTCGAACAAGTAAACTGCTGGTAAGGGTCAGTCGATTAAATAAGAATCGGTATTCTGCAAAAGGTGGCCTATATCAAGAGATACCAGGCATCGTTTGTAAATCAACAGCACAAGGTATGCTCCATTCGGCTTCGTTTTATCCGCCCGGGGTGAGGGGACGTGTACTTAATGATCGCCGGCAATTAGCAAGCGTCTAAACAGCCGTGGTGGTGGCTTTTCGGTTAATTCATGATCATTAAGAAGGTGTGAGTGGTGATGACAATGGTATGTCAAGGAACAATATTCCCCTACGCACATTAATTCTCTCAACCGAGCACTTCGGCTGCTTTAAGGTTAATTATCGGTGATATTAACTGTAAATAGGAGAATCGATTCACAAGCTTCATTTAACATCGATGGCCTGGGAAAACGGGGTTCTACAAACCAAGCTTCTACAAGATTCACTTGGTCGCGACCAAATAAGGCATCACTGTGCACAATAATTAAGACCATAATATGATGCAAATGCAAAGTGCTGCGCCTTGTTGCATTATGGAAACTTTGAACTCATTAGCGGCTTCAGTTTACACGCGGAAGTCTGCTTCATCACATGTTTGAAACAAAAGGTTTTTTTCGGGGCGTGTATTGACCTCACGACAGGCCCTTTTATATTTAGGAAGGTTTTGCATTGGTGTTCACTGAATTCCTCAAGAAAATTACGTCACACAGAACTCTCGGGTTTTCTACTCCAGTTTTCTCTCTTGATTTGACTTCTACGGAAGTCATGTCTCGATAGTTTCAAAACAGACATAAGTATCTGGAGCGAGAAAAGACTGTGACACAGTCTTGTTCTCCACGCACTATTGAGGGGACTTTTCTTCAAATGTTTGTATCCCTCATTGCAAAGTGCGGAAGTAGGTTTTTTTTTTCTTCATTGCTGGAACGGAGCATAAGCAGGGTGGAAACTCTGTGACAGAAAGGTTGGGCTGCACCTCTTTGAAAACCTCTAATTACTTTGGTTGTTCATAGGCTGCACCTCTATTGTTTATGGCTAGGTTCCATTGTTTCGTTCTTTGTCTACTGTTTTTTTTTTATATATAATCCTGTGAGGTCTTTCAAATGGTGCAGATCGGACAGAAGGCTTATAGGAAGGCCTCTGACCATTAGATTGAGGAAACCACAGATGGAAAGCTTTCAACATTCGTCGCCTAGTAATAGTGCGTACGCGCCCAAACCACTTCTAAGGGCCATGAAAATACCAATGTCAATCAATGTACACCTTGCCCAGACGGCCGTCATGTTATGTCACCAGTCTCATTGCAGAATTGAATCAATCGAAGTAGTTTATGAAATCTAGTAAAATAAATAACACCAGGGATGTAAAAAAGGAGAAGAACTTGCAACTTTTGGGTGATGAAGTTTCAACGCAAGGATGACTTTCCTAGAACCGGAAGTTTCTCCGGGGCACGTGGAATAATTAATAGGTAGATTTTTACGTTTCCTCAGTGGTTCGAAAGCTGACTGATAAGCGCGCCACCAAGACAATCCTCATCAGCTGCGGATTCCAAAGGCCTTAGCATTTCATCTAGAGCAGGTATTCTTGTCGGTTTTGCTGAAAGATGTTCTTTCAGCATATCTGGAGAGCATGGGCGGTTACGTGTAAAGTGGGGCATTGTAAAAACCAAAGCTAGACTGGACTCTGGACCCATGGATTCAAAATTAAAAGTCTGCGTATTTAAAATAATATGTATATGTTTAGTTACGTCCATGCTTAAATTCAGTTTATTCATTAATTTGTCAGTTTATGCCGATCACTTTCCGAGTTTTTTTCCCGATAAACACAGCATTAAGAAAACGTGAAAGCGAGGATTTTCACGAGCATCTTTATCGTTTAACTCTACCATTATCTGTAATTCTTTTGCGATGTGCTGCTGGATTATTGACAGTTGGTGAGACGAGATCCTCGTGGCCAGAAGTTAAAAGTGCCAGAAAGAAGTGAGAACTGTAGCTACAAATCCCTCCAACCTCACGCAAACTTTTAATGATCCTAGAAAATGTTTCTATTCCCACTTGGACTGCGTGCGTTTCAAACTACGAACAGTTTTGTCTTTTCTCTTTGCCGTTTCCTTTGCTCTTCGGACTCGGCTACTGCCAATACACCAGCAGCCAAGCTAGAAAGAAAGAAAGAACAGACAGAATGTTGGCTATTTCGAAGACGCATGAACTTTTCACATCTAAGCTTTCACGTTTGTTAATAACGTCTTTACCGGGAAATAAACCTAGAATGTAATTCGGTTAAAAACGATATCAAAGAATGAACCGAATTGAAATATTGAGATGACCCTGTGTTTTTAGATGGAAACGTTTCAATTTTGAGTCCACGGTCCAGAGTCCAGCTGGGTCCAGTTCAGCTTTTGTAACATGTCTATGACGTGACGTGAACTGAAGGTCTTTTTGCCATATATCACGTATTAAAGAGATTGAACTGGTAACAATTCACTAACAACACCTTCAAAAGCTGTCCAAATTTATAGACCAAATAGGTATCAACGACTTCAAGGAAGTCTATCGCCGCAATAATATTAATCACTGCCTTGAAACGACTTCATGCACGGTTTCATCAAGCTGCTGTTCAATGCTTAACTTTTAAGTTTAATTGCTTGTCTCCAAATTTGGAAAAGACAGGGTCGATTCCTTGAATGAAGGCAATACAATACAATACAATACAATGTTCTTTATTTTGAGAGGGTACATATACATGATTAACCCAGTTAAGAGTTTTCTAACACATGGCCCTCAATTTGGCACTGAAGGCACTTAATTTGCATACTTTAGTTGTGAAGCGCCACATGTTTCTTAGTGGTCCTATTTTAATTTTAGTGTGGGGTATCTCGGGAAGTAACGAAACTTTAGTAGATGCAGTCACTTTTTTAAACAGTAGTGTGTAACTTAACTCCAGACTAATCGTTAGATGTAAGAACGGACCGCCTTAAAAGATTGAAAACTACTTTAAAATATTCAACAGAGGACACAAAAAATATTTATTTTGGAGGTGTCACGCAGCAAGGTTCAGTTGTTAGTTGTACTCAGTGAAGCGTATTACAAAGGGTCAAACCTAGTGCACAATATGAATATGCATCTTCTTGTTAAGAGCTCTAAACACACTGTGAGTTTGGGATATATTCTGTTTCTGATTTACACCACCACGAATAACTTTTTTTGGTGTAGCCCATTCGCAATGCGAAATTTTATTCTGACGTGTCACTGTTTTCACTAGTATATGAAGCTGTCTTTAAGATTTTGAGGATGTTTCTTTCGTTTTCTTTCGAGGCATATGGTTTCCTTTTTGGTTTCTTGTTCCATATTTCACTTTTTGATATCCATTCTACTAGAAAAGGAAACACAGCTGAATGAAAAACGAAGTTTAAATTTGAATTACTGCAGTTTATGTGTGGAAGATATGAAAATGTTGCAAATACACATCCATTTTCAACGCAAATCAGTTTAAACACCATTTTGTGAACACGATGAGATACAGGAATCAAATTATAAGAACTTTGAAATCAAAACACAAGGCGTACTTCAAAGGAACACGAAAATAAAATTAGAAAGTTAACACGCATTTTTGATTGGACAAATGTGACGTCAAGTTCTCGGAAAGGCTTGGGGACTCCCCGTGGGTCATGTGAGAGGGCTAAAAATATAAAAGAAAACTCAGTTCGTTCTACATAAATCCATTCATCCAGTTTCGCCAGACTGAAGCTATCTCTTGCCCTCGAAAGAAAGGCTGCCAATAATTCCCAAGATATACACGCCTCTATAAAATTCAAAGAACAACTGCGAGATGCCCGCGGAAAGGATGCGTCTTCGCGCTTGGATAGAACATCAAGCAGACAACGGTCAACTTCCTGGTTTAGAGTGGGAGGACCGCGGCAAAGGAATTTTTAAAGTCTCGTGGAAGCACGCTTCGAGGCAGTGCTGGAATTGCAATAGGGACGCTTGCGTTTTCGAAGGGTGGGCTCCACACAGCGGTCGCTACAGACCGGGAATCGATAAGCCCGATCCACGAAGATGGAAAGGGAATTTCCGATGCGCTCTCAATGCGCTGCCGGATATACATGAGCTTCCGAACCAGGGTATCGCACGGGGACAAGATGCTTATAAAGTCTACCAGATCGTAAAGAAAACTGAGAAGAAAGATGGAGGTCATTCCAAACGTGGGCAAAACAAATGTAAGTATTAAAAAAAAAAAATCCCGAGGCCCTTGCACACCGATTAGCATGTGTCGTCGGCTGGAGCGCGTACTGCAGCATTTTTCGAAATTTTGTTTATTCGCAGCTGCGATGAATAGCTCATGGAGTTCTTCACTGCAACGCTTCTGCTTTAACAAGCGAAATATTAGCTTCAGATAAAGAACGAGAGTAGAGTCGTCCGTGCGCAAACCCCGTGACCCGATGAACCGAGAATTCCGGGATTTGTTTAGTTTTCCAGTACGACGGATCTCGATCCTTTCAACAAAATTACGAGCTGCGACTCCCTCACAGTGCTGATCACCCCTTATTTATAGTTTTTGTGGGACCGCGGCGATGTGATCGCCAAAACCATCAAAACTCTTTGTTTTTATGTGTCGGTGCGCCAATTCATAGAAAGTCTGTCGGCGGATGTAAGGTCCTTTTCCCAGAAAAAGCCCCGCATGACGTGACTAGTTCTTCCCTATTTGGGCGGAGCGGGAAAGTTTATGAAGCTATCGAATAGTTTAGTCTAAGGGAGTTTGGGTTCTTTTGCAAGAAGTGATTAATATTCACAACGGAAATGGATCTTGCTAGTTTTTTTCCTGAGAATAAAGACGATTGCGCTTCGGCTCGAGTGCCAGCCTGACACACCCAGAGGAAAACTTGCAGGGAAAGGGAAAAAAGGATACAGCATTCTTAAGTCACGATAACCGAGCTCTCACTTGTTAAATTTTAAACTAAAAATCCTAAAATCATGTCTGAGCTCAGTGTTTGCAGGAATTCAGACTCAAACGCGTCAACTTACTAAGCAAGACTGGCCGTACGTCGCGAAACTTAGAGCTGGCTGTACATAATACAGCAAGGGTGTGGTTAGGTAGTATATAAAGGATACAGCTTTAGGATTGGTGCTGCTACTTATGCGGCTGAACAAGGCATTTCCGACACCAAGATTAGGCACTTGGGTACATGGAAATCTGATGCTTTCAAAAAGTTTATTAGAATAATCTCCCTAGAATCGGTTTCGTAATTGAATGTGTCAGAGATTGTGATGTTGTTGCTGGCAGGGGCAGCACAACGTTGGAACCGCACTATTGATTTGATCTGAACAGATTATGCAGGATGGAATTTTGTAATATCAAATATTATGTAATACCTTTACCCAGAATGAAATTTGTGCTTGGGTGGGACGTGCCCTTGCTTTGCAAGGTCTTTGGCGGTTGACTGCCCTCACCTTCACCGGCAATACATAATTAATGAAAGTTTGAGTTTGTATTTTTATTGGATTTTCAGAGTTTAATAAACCAGCTGTGTGCAAAATTTCACATAGCCATTTTTCTCCATCATGCTGTTTGTTTTGCTCTTTCGAACACAGCACAACACATACTTCATTCTGATTAAGGTTTGCCATTCTGTGGATAGATTGAAGCATAAATGCATTATTTGTCTTCAAACAAAGTTTAGCCTTACGTAGTTTATGAGTACAGTAATGTGGAAAGACGTTAGGAACATGGAATCGAGGGTACTGATTTGAATTTTGAATTCAAGATGGCGTCTTTAGGTAATGTCGTATTTATTGATCATCGTATAATGGATGTCGCATTCTTGATCTCGTTGACACACAAAACTTTTTCATCAGCCCTCCTCCTCCCCATTCCTGCCTCTTTCTTGTTCTGTGGTTTGTATTTTTCAGCTGGTTGATTGCCCTCACCTCCACCGGCAATACATGTTTAATGGAGTTTGAGTTTGTATTTGTATTGGATTTTCAGAGTTTAATAAACCAGCTATGTGCAAAATTTCACATAGCCATTTTTCTCCATCATGTTGTTTGTAGTGCCTTTTCGAACAGAGCTCAGCACATATTTCATTCTGATTAAAGTTTGCCATTTTGTGGGTAGATTGAAGCATAAATAGGTGATTAGGATTCTTCATTAGGGATAACAGTTATTATAATAACTGGAGAGTTCAAGAAACCACGGCTATGAGAACATCATAAATACAAGACTGTAGAATATGGATGAATGTAAGAAAGCATTCTTCACACTGCAAGAAAAAAGTCTCTTACCATTCATATCATGAGAAATGATAGCGGAGCTCTCGCACGCTTTCGCGCGCGAGCCGAGCACCATGGGTAAGAAAATTTGGCAAACTATCCATCCGAGAAAATTTGGTTATGACCTAGCGTACGCCCGCCCACCCGTACACACACTTCATGTAAGCCGATGTCAAGTGTCACACTTGTCAGGAGCGAGAAATAAATAACAACGGAGACTAATTTCGTTGGAAGAAAAACTTGAAAATTATATAGCGGGCGGTTAGAAAACGAGAAATGCTAGCGGCTACTATAGTGAAAAAATAGCGGCAGTGAAAAAACAGAGTGAACAGGAACACAAACATTTCCTCCATAAAACGCGTAAATAGGAAGCTAAAAGAAGTTTCACGTTTTAGGGGGTGTTTACATGAGACCGGGGCGACTTTCGCGCCGGAGTGAGTTGACTCCAGTTCCCTCTCATGGCTCTACATTTGTTTACATGATACCACCACAAAATGTCGTGCCGGCGCGAGTCACCCTGGGGTGAGTTCACCCCGGTTGTTGTACCGGGGCGAGAATTTCACTCCGGTACGAAATCACGCAACGGTATCATGTAAACGCGAAACAACCACACGTTTCGGTGTGAAATCGGTCTGCCGGTATACTGGAACGGGTAGCGCATTCGTAATGCTTGCTATTTTGAATGTTACGTGTATTTTATCAGCATGAAGTGTACTTTCAAATGACGAGATATGAAATGACCCAGTCATAATGTAAACGCGATACGAAATAAAAAAGTCATCCCGGTATGAAACCCGCGCCGGTGCGAGGTTTCTCACGGTAGGGAAATGTACAAAAAAAAACTGTTGCACGTGCAGAGTTGTTTTTTTGCTAACTAGAAAAAAAAGTGTGCTGCACATGCACAGCTATTGTTGTTGTTTTTACCGTTGTCGTTGCTTTCAACTTGTCTTTAGTATTACTCGATTTTATATTTTCTTTGAGGAATCTATAAATATTAAAGAGAGCTTCGCTTTTAGCCCTGGCTAAATATATATATTACTCTTGCATAAGTGGTCACGTACAAATGTAAAGCTTAAAATTAAGAGTAGTCTGCTACAGAGCCGTTTTTCGTGTCCTCACGAAACGTTCCTCCCCACAAACCGTTTGTGGGGAGGAGCGTTGCGTGACGACACTAAAAACGGCTCTGTAGCAGACTAAACTAAGAGGCACTCAGACGTCGATTTAAATCGAATTTCTCCTTTATGGAAGAATCAATACAGAAGTTTTTCTTTCACGGCTTATTCCAACTTGATAATCATACACATCGAATGAACCGCAAGTATGAAAGCAACATGCTTTAAACAAAACCAATTGAAACTTTACGAGTTGCAAAAATAAAAATCTTGTCAAAGCACCAAAAAACAAACAAAAGAGACGAACTTAAAAGAACCAAAACGTTTTTTTAACTTCAAGAATAATTGTAACAAACTTGGGTCATATGGTTTTCATAGTGTTGAAGAAGAAGAACCTCACTACTCATCTCCTCTTGACAAATCCAACAGCTGTGTTTCTCAATAATGACCAATGGTGCATCTGTTACACCAGTGTTTCCAGCTTCTCTCTGTGTCTCCTGGTTCTCAGTAAAGCCTGTTGCCCTGACATCAACGTTTTCACTTCCTGCTCTCTTCCGTTTACAGGATTCCAATCGTTTAGAGAGACATTTGTTTTTCTGGGAAAATTTAAGTGACCTTTCCTGAGTGTTGAATCTTTCATGATTCCTCAGGTTTACTACATGGTTAAGACACTTGCCACACTGTTTACATTCGTAAGCCTTTTCACCAGTGTGAATTCTTTCACGAGTCCTTAGGCTTCCTGATCGGCTAAAACACTTGCCACACTGTTTACAATCAAAAGGCTTTTCCCCAGTGTGAACTCTTTCATGAGTCCTTAGGTGTCCTGCTACACTAAAACACTTGCCACACTGCTTTCATTCATAAGGCTTTTCCCCAGTGTGAACCCTTTCATGACGCTTTAGGTGTCCTACCTGACTAAAACACTTGCCACACTGTTTACATTCATAAGGCTTTTCCCCAGTGTGAACTCTTTCATGAGTCCTTAGGCTTCCTGCTTCACTAAAACACTTGCCACACTGTTTACAATCAAAAGGCTTTTCCCCAGTGTGAACTCTTTCATGATTCCTTAGGGTAGCTGCTACACTAAAACACTTTCCACACTGTTTACAATCAAAAGGCTTTTCCCCAGTGTGAACTCTTTCATGATTCCTTAGGGTAGCTGCTACACTAAAACACTTTCCACACTGTTTACATTCATAAGGCTTTTCCCCAGTGTGAACTCTTTCATGAGTCCTTAGGTGTCCTGCTTCACTAAAACACTTGCCACACTGCTTACACTCATAAGGCTTTTCCCCAGTGTGAACTCTTTCATGACCCTTTAGATGTCCTACCTGTCGAAAACACTTGCCACACTGTTTACATTCATAAGGCTTTTCCCCAGTGTGAACTCTTTCATGAGTCCTTAGGTGTCCTGCTTCACTAAAACACTTGCCACACTGCTTACATTCATAAGGCTTTTCCCCAGTGTGAACTCTTTCATGACCCTTTAGATGTCGTACCTGTCGAAAACACTTGCCACACTGTTTACATTCATAAGGCTTTTGTCCAGTGTGAACTCTTTCATGAGTCCTTAGGCTTCCTGCTTCGCTGAAACACTTGCCACACTGCCGACACTTAAAGGACATTGAGGTTGCTCTTCTTTAAAGGTTTTACATTTAGGATACCTTTGGAAGGAAGAAGAAGCATTATTAGTTAAATGCAGCACATTATTTGTTTTGTTGCCACCAGCATAAACTTTGCGCCCTGGTGGCGAGAGACCTGAAGGGAGTAGTTTAAAGGTGGTGTTGTCAGGGACATGTGGAAAATTAGAAAACTTTTAAGACACCTGCTCAAGACAAAGTGGTTCCACACCATAAACCAGCTGATTACATACCTAAAATTTTACATGAACCCTTCAAACTGGAGAATCCATCAACATGGGTCAGTTGATTATTTGTTGACTTTGTATTTGGATCTGAGAGTTCCTTGTGGTTTGCAAAATAACACACTTTTAAAATAATGGTAATTAAGGTTCATCATACAGCATTCATACAGACAATATAGTGGAACCTGTATTACTATAAATCCTCTATTAAGCTCCCTGGAGGCATTGGCATTTCAGAGCATGTTTGATGAGGGAGATTAACAGAGGGGGAGGGTCATTTTAGGTGGCTCCGTCATTAATATTGGAGCATTTAGCTGTGACAAATTTTCCGTCATAACTTTTTTGTTTTTAGAGCGATGGAGGCGAAACTTTGCAAAGAACAACAGATATCATTCGGCAATAGTACGAAATATTCCGGTTTCATTAATGGGAAATATTTTTTGAGAAATTTGTGCTTAAAAGGACCCTAGTGTTCAAAGAAAATCGTGTCTAGTAAAAAATTTTGCTGATATTTTTTAACTGTAATTTCTGGTATCATCTTTCATTGACATAATAAATATGTCGCAGAAATTTCAGAAAAATTGTTGCAGCAGAAGTCCGTAACTAAAAGTCGCTCAAAATTCAGCTGTGAAATTATTTTGGAATTTCAAAAATAAATGACTATCAGGTAGAAGGAGTCACAAGTTCGAATTTTCGGGACAAGTAAATTCAATGTTTGCTACAAATGATAACAAAAGCTGATTGCCTATCGTGCTATTCTTTAAAAGGTACTTTTTAGTTTTAGAAGCACTATAAAGTGCTCCAAACTTTGCTCTGACGTCGAATGAGTTGTTCCTCAACATTTTTAAAATCTCTCTAGGCAGTTTTGGTTCGAACTCCTGCTACATGATGATAATGTATGCATGCCAAGATGGCTGCAACGCTCGTGAGAGCTCTTGTATTTTTTATCGTTTCTATCAATGTATTAGCTTTTAAGGATCGACACAATGCGCTTAACGGAAATCTTACATGTTACTCCAACTGCTGGACTGCAAAGCCCGCGATTTCACACAGTTTTGTCCTCAACCATCGACTTAAAAGGTGTGTGGTTCGCTGGGATTCTAGAGGCTTGGTTTATTTAGCGGCACCTGAAGATTGTGTGCTGCTTAGTACGCTGCTTAATATGCCTGACATTCACCCTAATCCCGGACCCCACGATGGACAACAAGAGAACCGCCTTGTGGATGGAGTAGACTTAACCACCGCTCATAGGGACAGCAGTAACGGAAGTAACGGCGGAGCAGATACGATCTTGTTCCGGAGTGGAAACGATTTATTGTCTCTACGAAGGTTCGCGTTGAGACCTCAAGCTCCCGGGCTGAATACTCTGAAACAGCTGGGAATTTTAAGGTACAGAGGGCAAAGCAGGGTTAAAAACAGAGCAGCAGACGCTTTTTTGAATCCTAACGAGACAGCAAGGGATGGTCAAGCCATAGAGGTTGTGAAATCTCGTCGCCCGGTGAAGTCCTGTCCCGTTAGAGAACTAAACGCTAAGAGATGTCTCACTGCATTACACAGAGCGCCAGTAAAGAGGAAGAACAGCCCTTCGCTTTTTGCAGTACCTAACTGCATGTTTGTAAACATATGCAGTCTGTCGAAGACCAAAAATAGAGTACGAGCTCCTGTATCCTTGGAGGCAGATATGCGGAGCAATGATATTGATGTGTGCGTCGTGTCCGAAACTCATTTAAAACCGGCACAACCCGATGCGGTGGTTATCATCGCCGATTATGCAGTCTTTCGCAGGGACAGGAATTGGTCGGGAAAGGATATGCGGAATAAAGGCGGTGTTGCGATTTATATCAGGAAAACTCTGACAGTGCTTGATGTTTACCGCTCAACTGATTATGAAGTCATATGCGTAACTTTGCTTCTTCCCACCGGACATCGCTTTTTAATCTGCGGTGTTTACAATCCTCCAAAGCACAGTTACAATGAAGGTGACTTAATGAATCATCTATTGTCTTTTGTGGATCAAACAATGGACTCTCATCCCGGAACTGTTGTTGTGTGCGGCGGGGATTTAAATCAACTAAACATCAAACAG